GGAGCGAGCAGCCCTCATTCAGGTGGGGAGGGATATGTGGGAGGGTTTCGAGGCGAAGGCGGGTGGGGAAGTGACCTCAGGGTCAGCCAGGCGGCGGCTAGGGATGAGGGGCCGGCTGGCTGCACTTAATGCAAGGAAGAGCTCGTTAAAGTGTCATTTTTGGCCAATATGCTCATTGGTGGTGAAGAGGCCAATCAGCCGTACTGCTCCCATCTGAGGAGAATGACTTTCATCCATCATTGTCGGCTCTGTGATGATATTAGCAGGTGTTTACTGATAGGCCATTCAGAGGAAGACAAATGGAGACCCTAACGTCCTTTTACTCTCATATTCACTCAGTCATTTTATATAGAGGCTTATTCCTTGTGGGGTCACACAACATGGGGCTGCAGGAGAACCATTACCTGTGGGAAATCATTATAGAAGTTTAACGTCATTTTAAACACTGACCAAAAATGATCCACCTGTGAACGGATAATAAATAAACAGACAAAGCAATTTAGGATGTAGATTCTTAACTGTTATGTCAGGTGCTCCTGGAACGTTAACAACAGATTCATTTGAAGACTTTAAATAAATATTTTTGATATGATATACACATACATATACATATATGTGTATGTATAAGTATGTATAAATATATACATCCATACACATATCATATATAACTTCGTTAGAAATTATTTTGGAAAATCATTATTTTTATTATTATTTTGGAAAATAGGACAAAAAGGGGAAAAAAATCTGGAAAAAAAAAAAAGAAAATTCAAGTATTTTAAAGAGGGGTTTTTATACAATCAGATTGTTTCAGGAGAAACTTGAACAGAGACGAAACAGACCTTCTGGTATTTAACTTAACTGTTAAACAGAGCCGTTTCTGTCAGACACTGAAGCAGTGTCCCCCTGCAGTCACAGTAGTCTGTATGTGAGGTGTGTAATGGAACCAGTTGGACGGAGCTGACCGGCTCTCCCTCTGCCAGACTTGGCTGTAATTAAACCTCTCGCCATCTTGAGCCAGCCAGACGCACTCAGGATGCTTCTGCCTGCTTCATGCGTTGGATGTAAATTCAGAACAACACCAGCTTCTGCTCTCTTGATACCCAAGACGCCTACCGTAAGCTGGAAAAGCAAAGAGTTTGGTTTCTGCACATCATATAAAACTAAAAAGTCATCTATCTTTACTCATTCTGCTCCATATTTGGGCTTAAAAGAATGTTTGTACAGATTAAACCCGGAAGCAGAATGTTTTTTTTTTTAGGAAGAAAAGCAAACATAAAAAAAATGATGGTTTTGTGCTCAACATTAAACATTCAGCTTTTCAGCTGCAGGAGATGAGGCCAGAGAAAACTCATCCTCATAAACTTTCTTCTGCAACACTCTGTTGATTCCTTCTGGGAGTTTAAGTACAGCAGTTTCACAGCTTTGACCAGCCTTTACCCACACAAAAAAAGTTTTGTTTGGTAACTATATTTGTCATTCTGTATCCAAGCCTCTTCTCTTGTTTGGTCCTTTTAATTTTCCATGTAACTTTCCTCATGTCTCCTCACGGCGAGGATGAATATTTCATGAAGAGCCCCAGGCTTTCCCTGCTGTACCCATGAAGCCAGACCAGAAGAGAAAGATGTGGATGAAGAACAGAGAGATGGACAGGAGACTTGTTTTAAGATGGATCACTCCACCTTTCCTTTCCTACCCACCTCTGCCTCTTCACCAACTTCACATGCAACTTCAAACCTTTTATCCAACAAATTATTCTGACCTTCATTTGCTGAGCACTTAAAAAGCTTTCAGGACTTAATCCAGCTTTTATTTTTTACTCAGGAAATTAAACTTATTAATTCCATCTTTCTTTAAATCCTCATATGTTTAATCTGAAATGTTCCAGTTCATTAGGCTATTAAACTTTAATCAAGGGAGTAATTACTATTAAGAAAATATCTAAAATACTTATGGGTACTAACATTTCTTATTAAATAAATGTTTTCTAAATGCATACTAAAATCATGCTAAAATCCCTAGAAATCTGAATGAAATTGTTTTCCTGTGGTATAATTATCTTTAGAGTTATTACAGTTTCTCTTAGCCTCATGAGAACATTCCATTCAGATTTGTTCTCATGGCAGAAAATGTTTATGAGGACGATATATGCATTAAAGAGGAAGCCTCCATGGCGTTCTGTTAAGAGAACCACATTAAAGATCACCATGTTGGGGAAAAGAATCAATAAAAAATGTTGTCCAGTTGATGGAGAACCATATTATTCCACTTGAGATAAAACTAAATTGCATTTTGGTGCCAAGCACTCAAGGTGGAACCTCTTTAAGATGTGATCTATAATCTATTCAATAATTTGCTTGGAAAAAATTTAGATCAAGGCCTAGTCATGGAGTAATTTCTACTCAGCTAAGGCTGGTTTTATACAAAGGCTTTTTAAGTAAATCAAGGCGTCCTCTTTGACTATATTTGATTAACCTTGTGCTGTAAGCTTGATTGTTACATGATCTGAGTTTTCGGTCTCACAACAGATCCATGAAAGACTCCTGTCCGTTTCGTAACCACCAATGGATCGGACCAATGACATGCCAGCAGTGAGACGGGACATGTGTGAGAATGACGACAGTCAGAAGGGGCATTACAAACATGGCTACGCTGGAGGACTCACCTGTCGATATCGCAATTAACTCTGTTTTAGCTATAATAGTGACAATTTCTAGTTTAAAACGATGGGAAAAGGATGGGAAATATGTCTATGCTTTTCTTCTGGCAAGATTTGGAAAAAATGTGATTTATCAGCTTACTCCGCTAGTTGTGAAAACGTCACAATTCGGTGCTACGATTGGCTGAAAGCATATTATGGAAGGTGGGTACTAAACCTCCGTCCTTTTCATGGACAGACGGAACAGCAGCCATCCCAGATTGATAACGTAGAACTGAACTGAGTTCTACACATATCAGTCTGGCTACTGTCAGAAATTGGTTACCTTCTGATCACCTCATAACCTGGTAAACTTAAAGGGGTGATAGAATGCAAAACCGAGTTTACATTGTCATAAATGAATAACGGTAGTTATACAGAGGAGTTTAAACCTCATCGACACCTCCTTTCTCTGCAAATCTCACAATTCTAAACCTTTATCATAAAACAGGCAAATCCAAACGAAGCCCTAAGTTGACGTAAACTCGAGGATGTTGCCTTATTTGGTTCTGGCCTGTACTTTTGTCACACCCCGAAATGTACATATAGACCAGCCCACTGGTCCCTGGCCCAAGAACATAAATAGAGGTTGTGAAGGCGTAAGACACTAATTTAGCTGTTTAGCCTACAGTTGGGTTTACTTCTACAAGAATTACAAAGCAGGCAGTTTCTCTATTGAAAATAAGCCAGAACCACGGGTGTAAAGGGAGTGTTCCAGGCTGCACGGAGAAAGGGGAACATTTTCAGTCTTCCCAAGACCCAACAGGCATGAATTATATTTGGCTATCAGAAAATCCCTGCAAAGTTTGATGCTCAGCTGTTCATTTGCTGTAAGCATTTTACCGAAGACAGCTTTCAAAATCTTGGACGGTTTAAAGCAGGATTTGCTAACCTTCTTTGCTGAAACGAGAGGCTTTTCCAACCGTAAGGCCATCACAACCGCAAGCTGTAATTATTATTTTGTTTATTTTTTTTTTTTTGGGGGGGGGTGGGGGGTGGGGGTGGGGGGGGGTAGTCCTCAGCCGGAGGAGGGGGGCTGGTGAGGCAGGCGGGGGGTAGCACGATGTGCAAAAACATATTGGATGCCAAAAGAGACGCACGTAATATTTGGAATCCAATACATGTGTTGGTGTTCATTGAGGCGGGATTTAAAGCTGCACAATCTGCAAAGTTAATGGATGTGTGACTTAATACTGCCAGCAGATGGCGACAGCATATAACTGCACCCGGTGCAAAAATCCTTTATTGTCTAAAAAGGACCAAGTAAACACTATAAAGAAGAATGCTTGGCATATATTGCACTGATATAGATGTAGATTTAGATGTTCTTTGTATTATTTTATAGATTGCGTCGCCTCCAAAAGCATGAGAACAATCCAATGAAATATAATTATGCTGTGAATGCTTATTATAAATCTCTCACCTACAATACGAATTCAAACACATGGGAGCAGGCAACCATTTAATGAAAATCTATCTGCTGCTTGAAGCTTGTTTTGATCACTGCAGGTAAACAGGCCCATCTTAGTGTAAAAGCTTAGCTGAAACATTATCAGATGCTTCATTAAACACAGGAACTGGGCTTTTCTTCCCCACAAACAGAAAACATTTTACTTTCTACAGGAACGAAGTGGTTCATAATAAACTGTTGTCGATTGAGAATTTCTTTTGAAAGATCAAGAAGAAAAAGGACTCTTCATTTCAGGAAAGTCTAGGGAACTTTGGAGTTTTGTTTGAGTAATGTGTCTTTATGAAATCGCTCTGGATTACTGCCTGAAAATAGCTTATTAAACTTTCAATATAAGGCACTTTTGGATTTTTAACTTTAATAGGTGCTTTAAGTGTCTATTTCCCCCTACAACCTTTATTTGATTAAACCCAGTTGGTTTTGGTTCCCTGAAGCTCAAACGTGTTTCAGACCCCAAATAAAAAATGAGAAGAGATGCGTTAGTCAGTCAGCCTGAGATCTTACATACTAGGATCAGACTATTGGCTCTCTGAGATAATTGGTCAAATAGTGAAAAATCTCAACTTTCCTCTTTAAATCAATGCACCAGAACTAAGAAATTAAACAAAATGTTTTGATATTTTGAAGAAAAACATTTGATAAAAATGTGAAAATCTACTGTAAGTAAACTGGTAGCTCTATCAAACAACCGTCTGTTTTCTAGCATCAGTTCTTGGTTTGACTCCATTTCTCCGATCACCTGCTGCACGTTTTCCTCCGTTCCTCTCGATCTCAAGTGCTGTGAATAAAAACACACTTGTACCACAAAATCTTAAAAAGAAAATCAAACTCAGGAAGTATCTTTGGAAATAATCTCCATCCACACATTTATTTAAAGTTAAATATCGGCTGTGAATAACTTGTCTTTCCCGTCCCCTCCTTAGACAACCTGTAGTCGGTATGTGACAGACAGCTGCCAGCGGTGGCCTGGCTTCACACCTTAGTTGCCTCCCCCCTCCGCCCACATCATGCCCTCCACAGACATCAGCCTGGGAAACCACAGGCCACCAGGCTGGCGCCAGTCTGCACGCCTTAGAGCAGGGCAACCAGCCCAATCAATACCTCTGCATTTCCTGTCCATTTGCTCAGGTCTCTTCATTAATAATTACTGCTTGGCGGAGCTTCAATGCGCTCGCTGGCTGGCCCATAGGGGAGAGGTTTGGGTGACCTTTCCATGCCCCTGGGTTGCTTCAAATCTCTCACACACACACAAACAGGCGTTGAGACTGACATAACAAGGCAACATTGATGACATTATGACCTCCGGATTCTCCCCAGTCTATCCTCTGCGTAACAGCAGTTCTTAGCAGCATAACCAACAAAACAGGACTTCTTTTCTTCAGTTAAACTCTTTAGTTTGGCAGAGAGCAAAACCAGCAGCAGCAGCTACAGTTTCTAGAGTCATCTCTGCACTATTAAGCAGGTTGAATAATGGGACATTTTTGAGAACAAGCATCATTTACTGCTCATGGCACATTTTCCAGATGACACAGACGATTCATCAAAACATCTTAAATGATGTTCTGCCCGGTATGTGGCTTTGCTGATAAGCCAGGTAACAATGACAACTAAAAAAAAAAAAAAAAAAACAGTAGCCTGCTGGGATATTTTTCGCTGTGGAAGAGGAGGAGGAGGAGGAGGGAGCCTCCAAAACAGCTGGCCGCAAGCCAGAGTGAGGAGATTTTTTCATCCCGTGATGAACAGTTGGAGGAGTTTCTGAAGGAAAAACCCTGGCGACAGCATCGTGACCAAAGCCAGAGCCTCGGCGCTCCACGGAGGAGGCGTGCCCCCTCTGAGTGGGCTTGGGTCAAAATTTGGTGACGGCGGAGGCTATGTTCTCCAGGGCGGACCGAGCTTCAGAGGAGGGGAAAGCCTGGATGGCCTCCAGAGCCCTGTTGCTATGGTAACGGCACAAGTCCACCGCCGAGCTCACGCCTTTCTCTGACTTAACCGCTGCCAAGAGCTGTGGAAAGAGAGAGAGGATGAAAGCAAGCGTTAGTTTGTCACGCTGGTGTCAGAGCCTCCACTGTGCAGCAATGGGCAGTAAAAGTTAGTTTGAAGGATAACGTCCACCCAAAACCCCACAATGATACACTGTCAGCTGGGATGGTGGTTTCCAAATATACCTGTGGGCTAAAAATTAACGTCAACAGTAACACTTCAGCTGTTTTTAACTTAGTTTTCATATCAAATGAGTAATAAAAGCTGTTTCACAGTAATTCAGGTAACAAAACAAACACTTGATCATTGACTGATGTATACTACCTTCATTTTAAGATTTAACCCCGCTCTTCTATTTTGAAAGTGATTATTATTTAAAGTAACCTGGTCTTTCCTGGTGGAAAAAAAAGGTAATTTCTCATTAAAAACTAAATTTCAACCCAGCCTTCTTTACAGGATTGTTTTAATTCAGCTACATTTAAGAGGCCTTAAATCTTATAATTTCTTTACTAAGGTTTAGGTCCACATTAGATCAATACAAAACATTTGTTTTTTTTTATTTGAGCCATTAAGAGAGACTTGTGGAGTCCTTCTGATCTTTTTCCTGCCGCTAAACCTGAGCTTAAGGTCACAAACTGTTTGTTGGACGTTCTTCTCTCCGGTTAAGAGATAAATGAATGGTTAATTCAGTTATTGAAGGCCATTTGCGTCCTGAAGAACTAAAGCAACCCCCAGAGAATCACACTACTACAAACATGTACCAAGAATTTCGCTCCCCCCCCCCCTAAAATTGTTAACACATGAACATGATCCTTAACTGAAGTTCTGGGTTCTTTTTTTGTGTTGAGATGAATCATAAATGCCTCTAGAAGTCATAGGAGAGTTAACCACTGTTCTATTCTCTTTATATTTTGTTGGAGGCTCTCTTGGGCCCAAAAACCAATATGGCTTCCAGATTGTTATCAGTTGCTTTTTAATAATTTCTTTAGATCAGGTCATGTGTTGATTTATTTTCCATGTATCCTACTTCATGCTGCCAGACTGGTTCAGTTTATGCCACTATTAGATTTTATAAGTTCCAACACTGATCAGGCCTGGTTAATTAATAAACGCATGATTAATATAAGATAAGTCATGATTACACAAAGGGGAAAATGTTTTTTCACATAGGTTAGGTTTTCCTTTTAGAAAATAAAAATTATTTTTAAAAGAAGTCCACCCACCAAAACAAAACAAAAAAAGCCTGTTAAAAGGTAACTATTTTTTCACTATAAAATAAAGTTGATTGGTTTGCACATCGCATTTCCCATTCCAACATGCTGAAGTGGAAGACATGGAGTTGAAGAAGCATTAACAGGAGCTTTGAGTTTCCAGTTTTTTGAATGAAGCTGTGGGTTCCTGCTGCTGCACTGAGACATCTTTTTGCTGAGGGCGTTTTGCCTCATGAATTCTGGAGGTGGAAAGCCCCCATAGGCCTTTCTTTAAGCAAGAAGAAATTAAATAAAAAAATAACAGAGCTAAACTCAAAAACATCCTGCATGCTTATTTATAAAAAAAAAAGATTAGTTTCCCTCTCGCCTTTTATGCCAAACTAGAAGCTAACTTTGCCTCTCCCTGCATCAGCGCCCTGATGATTTTACCCCCTGAACACCCCCTGTTCGGATTAAAGGTGCAGCTCTTCACAGACACTGAAAAAAATTTATTTTCAGCATCAAAAAGAGGCAGGAGAAGCAAATGGGAATAGTGTATATTGAGCATTCAGCTCTGCAGCAGGGTGATCTGTCCCCATTTAACCCAATCCTTTAGTTTTAACTGGGCAATCAATATAAATATAATTTTTTTAACTATTGAATTGAGGAGATTTTCACTGAAAACCTTTCACTGAAACTACTTAACTTTTAGCCAATCAGAAATCTCTAAATTCACAGCAGCTTGAAGACACTGCTCTGCTTGTCTGAACTTCAGCACAGGGTGCTTTCCCTTTAAAGACGACGAGCAGCTCTTGCTACACAACCAATGCAATAAGCTGTAATGTAACTTATGATTTGCTGATAAACAACTCTGTAAATGCCTCCATAGCCACTGTAAAACATGGCGGTAGCAGCATCATGCTGAGGTTTTGCTAAGAGTGGTGAGTTTATAAGTAGTTCTAGATTCCAGTGACCCTCCTGTTTCTACTGGGGGACATTTCTAGCAATAATCTAAGACAACAGAATGAAATTACATGAAAAATTTAAATAAAAACGGGTAATCTGAGGTAATATGAGCAGGGTTCTGGATTAGAGACCTGCTTTTTTTCCGAGATGGATTTGGAAAATGCAAGCAAATAAAGTGCTTAAACTTAAGACTGAATGCTGAAATTTAACTAAACGATGCCGAAACTAAATATTTAGTTGATATATTGATATTCTCCCTAACTGTTAATGTTTTTATGATGAACATGTTACATAAACAGAAGAATATTGTTTTCCTTTCAGAGGTTAAACGTCCCTTCGTGCCATGGCAAGTTTAGAAAAAAACGGGTTCAACTGTCCAATATTTGTTAAATTAATTTTAGTAGAAGCAGATCAGCAGGTATCTAAGGTTAAAGAAGGTCTTGTAAAGTTTCCTTTTTTTAACTTTGCCAGCTGTGGAACTCTGCTGGTGTCGTCTTCTAACTTTTACCATGAGATTGAAGAGAAATGTGAATCTGTCAGAAGTTTCCTTTCTATTCTGTCATTGCATCACATTTTACTACACAGAGGTATTTCTTGTACCCCCTCTTGCCCCATGCATGTATTTCCCCTTCCTATACTTCTTTGTGTCCCCTCATTCCTCCTTACCCTTAAAAACTTCTCCTCTTTTTCGGCTGAAGGAGATTCTCTCACAATACCTCTGCCTCACAGCCTCGGTGTCTCCTCCACAAATAGGCCTTGGTAACCAATCCGTCTATCTCTGGTTTCAGACAGGACCAGATAACACCCCCCTACCCCTCCCGACATCACCCAGACCCCTCCCCTCTGCTCCTTTGGTCCCATTCTGGCCTTACACGTTGACTTTGGCAAGGCCATCTCTTAACTTTTTATATGAGTTACAGTGAAAGGGCATCATGGTTGTTTCTAGAGATACTGATGGGTTCAGTGCAGCTCAGCTAAGAGGTGAAAAGAGTCTAATGAGAAAAGTAGAAAGTTGAAAATGCCCCCTTACCTTAGTATAGTCCAACTGGTTTCTCAAGGTCCTTGCCTTGGATAGAAAACAGAGAAGGTGTCATTTAAGAGAAGGTCTAGCTAATTTGTAGATTAAGCTGCACAGTCCATTTAAAGGAAAGACAGTAAAAATAGGTATTATGTGCAAACAAGAAACTGCAAGATAAAAGTCTGGGATTGAAGGGTCAGAACGAATCAATCTGTTGTGGTGCACAAAACACCTTCTCAACTATATCTTTAGAAATCGCCTCCCCAATTTTTTTCCTCTCTGCTTCTGCAGCCAGATGTTGTTCTTTCAAGCATAAGGTGGTCCAGTGAACCTCCCAGTGGCCCCCTATTTGTTTTTAAACATCTGTTTTTTGATAGATGATAATCTGACGATTGTGAAGGAATCTCTTTAAAAAAAGAAGTGCTTGATGTGTCAACTATATGCTGGTGTTTTATGTTATATACTGTATATATGCTAAAACAGAGCGGTTAGCAGCTGAAACACTAAAGCTTTGGATGGACATTGACGTCACTGACATTGACAGTCTTGTCTAAATTTGAATATTAACAGGACAAAGAGTATGTTCCAAAAAGTTAAAAAACAACCACTGGACTTTGTTTTCCAATTTTGAAGAAGTTTCACTTCCCATCCAGGAAGCTTTTCCAATCTAAATTTAGGATTAGTGTTGAGTTCCAAGCTTTATAGAGTAGCCCAACAAAGTCTTGTTATGGCTTAGAAAACATGCAAACTGAACTGAAAAACAGGTCCATCTCTTAGTAATGGGGAGTCGTTGAGATCATTGTTTTCCTACCATATGTGATACTGGCCTATGCCTTTGAAAAGGGAGTCGTCAGGGTCATTGTTGGCCTGGCTGACCAGGTTGGTTTTTCCTCTATTAACATAAATGGCTTTCTTAACACCCCTTTCAAACCACCTGTCTTCTTTGTCCAAAATGTGACAGGCATGGTTACATTTCTGTTTTAATTGTACATGGACCCTTTTTAAATAAATCAAAAATATATAAAACAAATCTATATTGCTAAGTTTGTTATAGCTGTATTTTCCTCTGTGCTATCTGCTTTGTGAATGACAGAATGGTGGCTACTAGAAGTAGACTGATTCATCCACCGGCCGATATTCTGTGCCGATATCAGCACCAAGGTTATGTATGGCCATGCTTAAACATGCATTTGTTTTCTAATTAATTAGTGCAAACAGCAGCCATGGTTTGAGATCACATGAAACATTTAGTGTTAATATTTCATTTGATTTGTTCATAAATGTTTCATTTGAGACGTGACATTTGTTATAATTGTGTCATTTTTATGATTTAAATGGATAAATAAAAAGTAATATTGTCTTGAAAAAAAAAAAAGTGCCAAACAAAAAAAAAATGATGATTGCTGTTTTTAATTGGAAGATCTTTTTAAAAAAATGTACAAAAAAATTACAAAGACTTCCTCTTCTCTTCACGGTTAAATCCAATTTAGGATTTATGCTTGACTTAAGCCCTTATTTTCTGTTTTTCACTTTATAAAGGGTCGTTTTTAACTTCAACTCTTCATTATCGTGAAGTTATGACAATGTTTTGCTTCTGATTAAATCTGAAGAATCTTCATGACAACTGAACAGGCTTTCAGAGAAACCAAAGTTTCCATTAAAATTACAGCAGGTATTTCTTCAGATCTCAGGCTTCAAACATGGAATATAAAATATATATGATGGATGCATTAGGTTTTCTATTTTATCCATTTATCTAGACTCCAACAATACCTTTATCAAATTCCAGACTGTTATCAGAATAGACAGGAAGCTGTAGTTTTAGCTCCAGCTTTGCAGCCACTCGATGATATCCGTCTTTATTTTGTTTTGCAACTTTGGACTTTCCAATGAGATTTCTCTTCTGCATTTAACCCATTTCTGGGAAGCGATGGGCAGCAGAAATGCAGGAGCAGGGTGTTAGGATAATTATCATTGGTGATGTGTGAGTTTATTACAGCTTGGTATTAGCTGCCTGTTGCGTGTCAGAAGTGATGTTTTCCACAATAGTTAATCTAATTAAGAGACTTATAATCTTCATTCTGTATGTGCAAAGATTTGGAAATGGAATGAGAGCAGCGTCCTTCAGCTAAGAACGAGGTGTAATATTTTGATAAGGTTGGAGCCATGAATGTCTACTCATTGTGTATGATGTAAAATGTATTGATGTGGCTGACTGGAGATTTATTAAATTCCTTTTTAACTATTAATCATGGCCACTTCCTGAGAGGTGAGCAGCTGCCATTCGGTAAACTCTAAGCAATTTCTCTGATCTGAGTAAGATTACAATTTATATCAAAATCTGTGGTCATGTCTCCTGGTTATTTAATACATATATGTTATCAAGTGTTATTCAAAGAGTTTATCCCGAGTGATCTCTTTTCAGGGAAAAGAACTGAAGAGATAGAGCTTCAAGGTTCATACACAGAGACTATCTTTAACAAGGGACTCAGAAGTGCCATCTGTGGGGTTGCAACCAGTGAACCTGCTCCAACCACTTTACAAACAAGTCCCTTTAATAAAGTTTGTGTTTTCTTTCTTCTAACAGCAAATTTCAAAGCTCTATCACCACCTTCTATACCAACATGAGTTCAAGCCTTGAATAAATGACCAATGATCTTATTTAAAAATGACAAAAAAAAAAAAAAAAATGCTTTGACTATTAATTTCACAGAAGGATGAGGAAATAAAAAGATAAATGCATAAGTGGGATTTGTTTTTTTTATACATCTATTAAAAAAAATAGTGTTCAGCCACCACAGCAGATTCAGAAACAGGGATGTCTTAACTCTGCCGTGCAAAATATATAAAGATATGGAGCTGAAGTTTCAAGCTTTTTTTATTTACTGATAAAAACTGTCTGGAAACATGAATCTGACTGTTTACTGCTCAAACAAGCAGCTGCTCTGCAGTGGATTTAAACTCAGCAAGTTTTAGAAGTGTTAAAAGCAGCTGGATTTCCCACTCTTCTAACTGCGTGAAATGCACCAGCTGAGATTAGAGATAGCTTGTACAACTTAACAGAATATTAGGTTTTTCAAGTTTAATTTAAATTTTTACAAAATATGGCAGGAAGGTGGGTGGGGCCGCCTGCCCATGTTTTTACCTCCTCCAGCTGCTGGTGCCATCTCTCGTTCCCGACGATCTGATGGTGGAAAACCACCGGGGCGGCGCTCAGACTGAACGATGTCATCTCTCCCAGCCTGCTCCTTACAAACGGCTGCAGGTCAGAGTTGAGCTGCACAAAGGTGGAGCACAAACAGTCACTGATGTTGCTCTGTAACGTTTGGGTTACCAATTAAACCTTCATACAAGTAGGAAAAAATGTTTGAGATGACATCTGGCTAGCTGACACTAGGAGAGGTCCTGCTAATGAGCGGTGGGGTGGACAGTTTGGTAAGAGACAAACGTCCTGATGAGGATAGTTCTCCTTTAAAGAGCTCATTTCAACGTTCACCATGCTGTGATTCCAGCGTGCTGCAGAGGCCCCGCAGAACGGCAGCTGCAGGGAGCCTCAACAAGAGACACAAACTACTCCAGCAGTGTGAATCAGGTCATCAGCTCACTAAAAACTTCTAAAATGCATGCATTTCATGCTGCATTTAAGTTGCATCCTAATAAAATGTACATCAGTTCAAAACAGTCATTTTGTAACCTTCTTTATCATTTCTGTATTTATTGTTTTAGCCAATGTCTTCCTGCAACAACTTTTCTAGGCAGCATAAATTCAGCTGGAAGCATTTGATGAACAAAGATACAGCAAAACTAGAGGAGGGCCAATTACTCAACGCAGTCAGACATGACTGCAACATGTGGATCAGAAGCTCATTTAGTCCTTTTCTATGACTGTGATGAAGTTTAATCAAAGCAAAGTACATCTGTCAAAGGAGGAATAAAAGGGGTGTTAACTAGAGTGAAACTAATTTAAAATTTTAGTTTTATGCAGCACATTCATTAAAAAAAAAGCTTTGCATACATATTAATACCCCTTGAGCTCTTTCCCAATTTGTCACATTGTAACACCGGTTTGGTGCATATTTTATTATTATTATTTTTTTTATAGCTATAAAGAAACTTATAGTGACATAAGAACTGTAAGATGGAAGGACAACAATGCTTTTTTTATTTAACAAGCAAAAATCTGTTAAGTGTGAACTAACAGAATGAGTCACTTTTATTATTTTCCCATTACTGTGGATCGGTAAAAAAAAAAAAAAAAAAAAAAAAAAAAAAAAAAAAAAAAAAAAAAACATGAGTAGAGTTGAGTGCTGCACTGTAAAAAAGCATTTCCCTTTTTTAATGCAAGAGTGGAAAGTTTAATAAATTATTTGAGGATGGCAATATTATGGTGGCCGAAACAGTAAACCACAAAACAAGCATCAAAAACATGTGATCCATGATATAGAACAATATTTTATTACTATTGGAGAAAAGACCTTTCCAACCCGGAAACATGTCTCACATTTGTATAAAATTCTCTCATCTAATAATTATCATAATACCTATAATGTAAAAGAAAACTGGGAATTAGAATCCAATTCAATAATAGAGGACGAACAATGGGACAAATTGTGCGAAGGCAGTCAAAAAGGAACTAACAGCCAAATGTGGAGAGAATTCAGTTGGAAAATTTTAATAAGATTTTTTCGCACCCCATTTTTAATTTCTAGATTTGTCAAAAATCCTTCAGCGGCCCTATGTTGGAGACAGTGTGGGAAGATTGGTGACCATACGCACATTCTGTGGGACTGTCCTGTTATCAGTCAGTACTGGAAGGGGATTAGGGATGAGATAGAGACAATTATAAACAGAGAAATACCTTCAAATGCTTTGTTTTATTTACTGAATATAATACCAGACTGTTTTAATGAAGACCAAAAGTATATTTTGCACATGTTACTATTAGTAGCTAAAAAAAACTATAACGGCTAACTGGAGACAAGTTTTGTCACCATCTATAGCAGAGTGGAAGATTCGGGTAAAACAAGTGTATATGATGGAAAAAATGACTGCATGTTTACAACTCAAAGTGGACAAGTTCAATCAAAGATGGCATTTGGTGAAATTATATTTGGGTGTGTGATTTTGGGCTCTAGTGATTCTAATGGATCGCAATCTGCTCCGTCATCGGTATTACTAAGGTATATAGTTGAATACGTGTGTGTATGTATACATGTAGGTGGGTATATATTATATATATAATTTTTTGCTGTTTGTTTACTGTATGTTGTATTTTTGGCCTGTGGGTAAGCACCCTGGAGGGGAGGGGGAGGGGTGTGGGTTTGTGTGTATGTATATGTACATATGGTATTATATATGTGCAGTTCTCTCTTGTAAGGTATTCAAAGTCTCAGGTGACCTGGTTTATCGTGCTGCATTTATGTTGAAATATTGTACATGTGGCATCAGTATTTCTGTTATTGATTTAATTACTCTTGGCTCAGGGAATGTTCTTTTGTTGTGAAAAGTTTTAAAAATAAAAAGTTCTAAAAAAAAAAAACAAAAAAAAAAACATGTGATCCAAAACGCTGCAAACAAAAAGCAACAAGCTGCAAAAAGATGAAAACGTGCAGGAAATGAAGAAATAAGCTCTAAACACATAAATGATGCAAAGTCCAAAACACATAAACAGAAAAACGCTGCAAACAAAGATACTGTAAAACTAGAATCTAAATACTGCAACAGAAAGAAAATGATGCAATTAGTAAAAACAGCAGCAAACTCGCTCTAAAAAAGCAGGTGCTGCAGAAAACTGGAGAGAGTTGAACAAAAAAAACATATTGAAACAAAGTGTTACTTATATTGCTATGTAACTATGATGTTATTCTAAAGTATTTTAAGACTTACGTTGACAATAAAATTAAAGAGAGCAAGCCTCTCCTTTCTTCTTTAATTTGACATTCTGCATTAAAGCTTAAATTCCGGTTTGCACGGAAGGTTTTGTCCGATACGGTTTGTTCTTTGTTCAACTCCCTCTAGTTGTCTGAAGCACTTCCATTTATGTGGCCCGAGTTCGCTCCTATTATACTATTTGCATCAAATGCTCTCTGTGATTGCAGGATTTTGTTTGTGCTTGCTGCATTTCTTTGTATTTGCATAAGTTTTAGTTTTCTATTTTTTAGTAATTGCAGTATTTTTGTTTGCAGTGTTTTTCTGTTGCACTTGTTATTGTTTTGTATTTATGTGTTTTGGACTTTGCATCATAAGACTGTTTGCAGCTTGTTTCTTTTTAATTTTCAACACTTTTCTTTTGCATTTCTTTTTCATGCTTGCTTCTTTTAGAGTTTGCATCACATGTTTTTGCAGCTCGTTTTGTGGTCTATTCAATTCAATTCAATTCCATTTAGTTTATTTACCGTATATAGCGACAATTTACAACACAGTTCACCAGGTCATACAGTCAAATTGATAAAAATTTTTCTATCATAAGGAAAACCAGTTGATTGCATTGACTGAAATGCAATCCCTCACACTAAGCATATTTGTCGCAACAGTGGAGAGCAAAAACTCCCTTTTAACAGGCAAAAAAAAAGCAGAGATACAAAAAGCAACTGTAAAAGGCGGCCCCATCCAGGAAACACATAGCCAGGCAGCTGAGCTATGAGCCAGCTCCCATGTCAAAGGATGAAGGGAGCACATCCAGCCTGTCACAGTCAGAGAAACAGGACAACACTGAAAAAACAGGCCGATCTCCAACATCTATAAACAAAGGTGTTGATGGCAGCACCACAGCTGATATTTCTTTCTAGGATGGTGTCACAGCCAAAAACTAATGTCTAATGTGTGTTTACACCTGTTTTTGGCTGTATAATAAACTATGGTCTTTTTTTCAAAGTATCCTTTGCAGTTGGAAACAAACCATACAAATGACCCCACAACTCTGAAAAAAGGTGTTAAGGTGAGGCAAAAGGTGAAAATCTTGGTCCAGATACAAAAAAAGCACATCATCTTAGAGTACCATCACCATTTCAAAACATGGAGGCGGTGCCCTCATGCTGTGGGGATTTAGAAGCAGGTACCAGTTTATAAAGAAAATGGAATGGTTAAAGGAAAGGATACTGGAAAGGTTACTGGTTAAAAGTCACATCTAAAGCTTATTCAGACTTTTTACCCCAACTGTCTGGTCTACACCAAATCTATTTGACCTTCAGATATTTTGCACAGAACGGGGAAAAAAAAACCTTCTAAGCCTCCAAAGCTGGTAAAGGCTTCTTATATATATAGCTTTAAAGCTTCGCTTACGCCAAGATTTTTAGACTGCTGTTTGCAAAGAATAAAAAGATAAATAAAATAAAACTTGCATCATTTCCTTTCACTTCACAATGATGCACTATTTTGTTTTGGTTCATTATGAAAAAGTAATTGTTTTTATGCAAGAATTATGAAATAAAAATAATTAAATGAATACCTTTTTTTTTTTATCACTGAGCCATAATATGTATTTCTATTACATTATTTGATTTGATCAAATTACCTCATTCTAAGTCCTTAATTATATCAGATTCCTTGATTTGTTTTCTTTCACGTAGCCAATATTTTTGATAAAAAAGAAAAACGTCTGAAGAAGTCTTGATTTGAAGGTTGGTTTGTGTTGTGATTGCCCAGGACTTACCTTGTGGCCCAGCGACAGGTGTTTTCCATACAGGTAGGCCTGTCTTTGTGCATCTCTCTCGTGTTTAGCGAGCTGCATGGCGGCCTGACAGCTCTTGGCTAGCAGAGCTCCGTGAGACAGAAACGTCTGATCCTCCCATGACGCCACGTCGACGCCCTCGCAGAGACTCTCCTGCAGAAAGAAACATAGCTTCACAATTTATAAAACTTTCAGTTGACAGTGAAGAGAGGGATAACACAAAGCAAGACAATTTTGTTTTTAAAAATGTATGCACTATAATATAAATATATATATTTTTTATTTAAACAAATTTAAACAAACTTCAGGCAGGGAGACAGCTAGTTGCGGATTCAGAGTGTAGCCTGAAGACTGAGCAATTAAAAGGGAACTTTTTCTCACTGCAGCCTGACAGCTGTGGACGATATGAATAAAGAAAGTCTGTCTTAATTCATTATTTATCAGGGTATTTTCTCATTTACAGTCAGCTGGTATCACCTAATGTCATAATCAACCATGGAGAAAGACTTGCTTTCTATGCAGGTCATAGACTTAGTCTGATCTGTGACCTTAATGCACCTAAAACACGAGAACATCTTTGCTCCAGGAAAGATCTTTTTTTTTCTTCTGAAAACAGCTAAGCAACAAACAAGCCCACTAATTGTCATCAAAGTCAGTTAGATAGACCGAGTTTTACCTCAGCACTGCAGGAACTCTCATAATATATTCCTTGGACCAAATCCCCGATGGCACTGGAGATCAGTTCAACCACCTGATGAACAGAAAAAACACTGTGAAAAAAAAGGAAATTACCCAATTGGCAAAGGTTAAGAGATGTTAGATTTCCTGAAGTCTAGGAGGTAAAGGTGAGACAGGAGGACAGAAAGTCTGAACTATCATAGTTGGACCTCAGCCTTTACCTGTTCACCAGCTTTACTCTGTATCCTAACACAGCATCTTCCTCTACAGGTGGAGAGTCTATATAGAGACGCCTCCTGGAGCCTATTCATGGTTCACCTAGAGATTTGATCTTCACAGATGTGATCTTAGGTTTTGCACACCGGGCTGATGTGTCAGAGTAAGAAAAGAACCTGAGGCGGACCAAGAACTCATCCAACCTGGGAACCTAAAGGATCTCTGGGTTTCCAAGTTACAGAATAAATAAATTATTGAACAAATAGATGGATTGATAAATACATTTATGAATGCATTCATAGATAGACTGATGAATCTATTAAATAGATAATTAAGGATATCTGAAAAGATAATAAGGATAATTAATAGTAATAATTTTTCCTAATTAATAATAAAAGGATGAAGGATAATTTTATAGAGAGACACATAAATTAGTAAATGAGATGTTTGGATTAAAAATAGATAAATTTCTGGACAACTTCTGCTTAACTAAAAGGTTTCTTCAACTGTAATTCTTAGTTGAATAAAAAAAAAAAAAAGAATTAAAGGAAATTCAAATTAACTTAAAAGTACATCTGATGTCTTCAAGAAACATCAATTAGTAACATCTTTTTAGGACTCATCCTAACATCAACATGTGAAAACCCTTGGCACATTTAATGAATTTAGCTTTTACCTCATTTTAGGGACGTTGAACTGAAAGTGCAAAAATTGAGCACTGGATGTGGTCGTCTAAGATTAACGTTCAAATCAAAGATCCCGACATTGATCCGCACATTAAGTCGACATTAACACCAAGGATCAGAACTGCAGAGCATCTCCCTCATTATCAACCATTAAGAGAGCAGATTAAACTAAAGTGTAGATACAAATGAGGGGAATCGACACTGATTTGCCAATCATATCAACCGTAACATTCGTAATTAAAGGCACACGGTCTCCTATGATTGAATAAGGAGCGTCTGAACAGCTGGTTTGGAGAATTAATCTAAGGTGAGCTGCGTTGGGCGCCAGGTGAGCCACCTCATTACCAGTCCACAGGAGGGGGGGGGGGGGGGGGGGGGGTCTTCAGGAGATTTCATGGAGCACACCCAATTATGCTTTCATTCATCATTATATTTTGAATTTACAGAGAAGCTCCTCAGGTTTCTCTCCAGTGTGGTGCGATGAAATGGAGCTGATGGTGGAGAAAAAAAGGAGCTTGCAGAGAAGCTGATTTAATCCCTTTTTCCTTCTGTTCTCCTTAACAGCAAATACCTAAAGAAATATGTACAGTTTATTAACTTAATGTTGAACATTTAAGTCAATCATTTGTTCTCTTGAACTCTTATCCATCCTTCTGGTGTGAGCAGCTATTATCGACTTTTATTAGGAGCAAAAGTGATTATATGGCATCTGTGTGCTAGTGTGAGAGTATTAGATAAGATTTATCTAATATTTTACGAATACATAAATGATTATATCTTCAACTATATTTCGGATGTTACTAAGATTATCTACCTTTAAATGCAGCTTTTGGTTTATTCTGTGTTTTGTCATTAAGAAATGAAGCATACAGTGAACTAGAATGAGGCATGGTGGTGGCTCAGTGATGCTCTGGGACTGCTTTGCCATCTCTAGCACCAGAAATGTGAAAGAGAAGAAGGGTTCAAAGAGTATCAGGAGGTCCTGTGAGGAGTAAAAGTGTTGCAGCAAATAAACCCTAAAACTATGAATGAGCAGGAAGGCTTTGGTAAGGAGCCTGAAGCAAGGCTGCCAGAAGGTGTTTGGATATGATAAGCCAAAAAATGTTTGTCAAGAAGGAGTTTCATTTTCTCCAAGATCGGAGAAGATGTTAGAAGTAGTTCTTTTAGTTGTCCAGTAGTAAGAAACTTCAACACTCCAAAAAGTATCGTAACTAAAGACAAGTGTTTGGATGTTTTCGGCAATGTTTATTTTAGTTTTCCAGATTATCTGGACAGTAAACACAAACACCTCAGACAACCTGAAACTATGGTATGATTGTGTTACATCTAGGATGTATATTTTGCATTTATTGCACACTTAATTTGATTCTGTTCTAAATGTGTTGAGAAGAAAAACTGAGTTTTCATGTTGGAAAAAAAAAGTTTTATGCCTTCAATTGTCATTTTTATCCTCATGCTATCGAAAACAGTATTAAGAATCAAATTACATTTTTTAGCGTCATGAAAACCCTACTTAATTCTGTTAATATAGTTATAGGAAAACCCTTCTAGATTATATATATTTTCCCTAAACATGACTTAGAGCTGAATTAACTTAAGGTACAAACATTAGGGTTGAAACAATTAATCAAATGAATCTTGATAAATCGATTATTTAAATAATTGTCACCTAATTACAGACGCTAAATTATGCCTGTAGCTGACAGAGCAACCCAATTAAAACAGTATTATATAAAAACAAAAAAAAAATATATAAACATTTTTCATTTAGGATGAAAAATGTTTTCGTCTGTCAATATGCTCTGTCCAGAACTCATTTTAGTGGAGTTCTGGAAAGAGCATGTATCTATTGAATGTAGATCTATGCCTTAACTCTGGGTTTTTTAAAAGGCTGACAACATTTCCAAATGCCTCAGGCACGTCTTTAAAGCTGAAAGGTATAAAACAGGGCAGCGTTTATAGCTTTTCTGCCTCCTCCTTAGAATGCCCACTAACAGTCTGAGAGAATCACAGGCTGTAGAAAAAACACAATATGCTGTAAAAAAGCAGTTTCCTTTTATTTTTTTTCTCCTCCATCTTTGTGCTTCTCCTGAATTCATTTTGAACAACTCAGTCATACTGAAAATGACAAGCCGAGTCTCCACTCAGAAACAGCATCCATTCTTAAGATTGCTGTCACAGCGGCTCTGTGAGGCTTCCTCGTACGATTTAAGTTTATGACTAGCCAATTAACAGATGTTGGACATCGCACTAAAAAATGACCAACTTCAATCATCAGTCAATTTTTTTTCAATCACAAAAGCAGGAAAAAATATAGTAAAAAATGAATAAGAAAAGAGGAGCCTCCTCAGGTGAAAGAGCTTCATCAGTTCATCCTAGACATGATTGGCTTCCCCAGAAAGCTCCAGAGATGCTGGCTGCTCAGTCAGCCCCACTGTGCCCTTTGGGTAACTGAAACCTGCGAGGGAAAATATTGAGGAAACCTGAGCTTCCTCCCCAGACTTGGAAGGACAATGTGCCTACAGTATTACCAGATGTGGTGTCTCTGCTTGGCGTGCCTTGGGAAGCAGAGCTCTACAGAGACCTGATTTTTTTTTTTTTTGGAAAGTATCACATTAACTCTCCCTCTTACTCCTTTCCAAATCCAGCCAGATCGTGTTTTGCCGACAGAATGGAGAGTGGGGAGAAATCAGAGCCTTGTGATGAGATTATTTTACAGTTTATACAAGCAGCAGCATAAGTTTCCTCTCAAGGCCACGACATATAATCTCCATCATTTTCTGTGTAAGAGGAAAGAAATCCCAAACACTTCCAAATCTGCTCATCCATAATCTTTTTTTTTTTTAAACAAAGAAAGACCTGGTGCTCAGGAAATAAATCTAAAAGTCTAAGTTTACTCAGAAGGAGCACCATTTAGCCTGTGAGTAATTCCTCACAAAATTAGTCCTACTCCTGAGATTTAAGTTTGGAACATTGATAAATGAGATTAGGTCGACAATACAGACTGCAGACATGAAGGAAACTTAGTAAATTATGACAGAAGCTTTTTTTAAATATCACCTAAATTCCTACAGATCTTGTTTTATATTGTCGCATGTCAACCAAAGTAAGATTTCTTCAAAATCTTTAGTTTATGATTTCCTCCAATGCCGACTAGTGTCACTGATGCAGTTTGTAATGTTCATAGACAGGAAAGACCAACTGGTAATTATACACAACAAACTGCTTTTTAGGTGTCATTAAATCATGACCTTTAGCTACTGTGAAAGTTAGCTATGTTTTTTAAGGAAAGGAAGGAAGGAAGGATATAAGACTGAAAGGAAGGAAGGAAGGAAGGATATAAGACTGAAAGAAAGGAAGGGAGGAAGGATATAAGACTGGAAGGAAGGATATAAGACTGAAAGAAAGGAAGGGAGGAAGGATATAAGACTGGAAGGAAGGAAGGAAGGAAGGATATACGACTAGAAGGAAGGAAGGATATAAGACTGAAAGGAAGGAAGGAAAGAAGGATATAAGACATAAGACTGAAAGGAAGGAAGGAAGGATATAAGACATAAGACTGAAAGGAAGGAAGGAAGGAAGGAAGGAAGGAAGGAAGGAAACTAATAAAGGAAGAAAGAAAGAAAGGACAGATGTAGGGATCAAAGGGAGGAGGAGCATATAGAATGAGGGAAGGACAGATGGACGCTGGAAAAGGAAGCAAGAAAAAAGTTATGAGTAATTAAAAAAAATAAAGAATTAAACTTAGCATTAGAGAAAGAATGAAACAAAGGAAAAAAATAGAGAAGAAAGCATGAATAAGGAAAGAAAGAACAAACCACTAACAGGAGGTCCTTGGAACCAAAAGTTTCTGAAAGGACATCTATTCCTTCTGGAACCGCCTGGCACTTATGGAATAAAGAGTTTTCTGTTTCATTGAAACTTATCAGGAATCAATATTGTCAATACTAAACAGGGATCATGTATAAAGTGATCAAGTAGTTATTTAAATCTACATTTGATGTCGTTGATGAAGCCACATCCCATACCTTGAATCATGCCTGGTTTCTGTAAACCTTAAGTTTATAGACTTAACAGTTTTATTTTCTAAACGTATAGAAGCATATTCAGTTACTCTTTAAGGATTTCATAAAGCCTTTGGCCTGAAGCTTTTGTCTTCTGCCCGCATTGC